GGGGGGGGTTCAACTTAGCGCTACGGTCTTGTTACGTGGGGGGAGGTGGTCAAAGTATGCGGTAGATAACGATTTTGATTGTAAAAAAATTAAACAAAAATATGTTCAAAGACGAAAAGTGCAATTGCTGTAAAAATTAAATTCTTGCAATAAAAAAACAATGAATGATGCTAAAAAGCGTGAAAAACAAATTAAAACAACAAAAATGAGCAATTTATTGTATAATATTCTAAAATATCTAATTCAACATACTTTAAAGCCAACTATTCAGGGCATTTAAAGTTTATTTTATGTATTTCATAATAAATTATTTCCTGAAATTTTGCAGAACACAGGTCAACATTGCCCCATATCTCTCACACAATTAAATATCATCATATTTGAAGAATGATTCAGAAATAAAATTCCATCTACTTATTTGTTGACCAATTCCATCACGCGATACAGCAAATTGGATAAATACAATTTTGCTGGCGCATTAAATAATTTTGCTTTGTTGAATGTCAATCACCTCACATTTCATTGTTCCAGGGATGAATGTGTCACACATAAACCGTTTTTAATAGGTATTACATCTTGGAATATAGTTAACTTAATATTATCAAGGTATAATTTATAATAATTTTTTTAACAACGAACTGGGTTAATAATAAAATATTTTCGCACCTGGAAAACATGGAAACCGTCAGGGTGAGTGAAAACGGTCACCCGTTTCACCACCCTGACTCACTATTGACTTAAATAATCTGATTCTCAATATGAATCTGAATGCCAATTATTTCTATTTTGGAACGCAAACAATTCGCTATTTTATCAATACAATTTCAAAACGAGCTCTTATCTGAACAACAGATATGGGGTTGATTGTTATCTCCGAACTTTAAGCATAGCCCCCGTACGCGTATACATATTTGCATATTTATATGATCATGATTACGAGCTCAATTGTCAGGGACTTGGACCAACAATAACCGGTTGAGAATGACACAAGATTTAAAGTCCGTCCATTCTTTGTGTAAAATCTGATGGGATAATGTTTGTGTTTACCACTCGTACAGTGGGTTACGAAGCGTCAGCCAGTCAGCTTGACGAGATCACAGGTGTTTTCGTGGAATTGGTGTTACGTCACCAAATCATGACGTATCCGCATGAACAACCATCTCAAAACATTCTTTAAAAACTCCTCGCTCGCCTACGTTTTTCCTCCTTCTCCAAACTCATTACTGTTCCACAATGTGGAATACATGGATGTGTGCCACGAAAAATGTGAGTTTCTCCACATATTCATTTTTGTGTGTGTAGCAGTGTAATCATAACAATGATAATAGACAGAGATACAAAGGTACGAATGTTGTTGAACCGATGTCCCTTTAATTAGTGAGGGTAGTCACGTGTGTGAGCGTAGGTGGCTGCTTTTTGTTGTTAATTGTACAATAAAGTAGTTGCACAGTGATAATACCGTGAGTATAAGTATTGCAAAGTACAGCAGGTCTCGAAAAAGAGAATAATAATAAAATAACATAAAAACAGAAAATATAGACATACGTTCAGGGGTTCATATTTTTGGGACCCTGAAATTGAAGAAATGTATGTTACTGATAAGATTACACACCTTAATCGTTTTTGTTTGACTAACACTTTACAAATAAGTAAACATGTATAATCTCCTAATCTTACTGCTACAAAATCGGGAAAAATATGAGATTTTAACGTCAACGATTATGAATTCAAAAAAAAATATCGGCTATTACTTTTCACAACTTTTAAAGTTAATAATTATTATACCTACACTTGAAGTACTCAATAAAGGTAAAAGAGAAAGTTGGACATCATTCGAAAGTTTTAAAGTTTTTATTGAACTAACTTCAATAATAATTTATCCATCATATTCGTTCATAAAAATTATAATATAACATTCATGACCATTAATAGTGAAGACCCCTTCTTTCATACGCGTTTATTTTCACTCTATTATGCGTACGTACATTTTACCATGCAGTTCATTGATTACAAAGTACAGCCGTGCCGTTTTGAAAACGTTCCTAATTTTATTTTTAGCAAAAATGCGCAGAAGCGAAGTCTGTTATAAACTAGCGAAAACTCGATTGTTTTTGTTCTAAATAATATCTACAGTTATTATCCAAAATTTCCCGTATTCAAAAGTCGTACAACCAGTTGTTATATTTCTAAAAAAAAGTGATGTTTAGTTTGTAATTCTAGAAGAAATTGTTGTGAAGTCGACTACATAAGTGTTTACAAAATAGTATGTATCAAGTACTATATGTATTTGAATCACAAAGTACAATAGGTGCCGTGAACAATAATTTAAATAAAAAACATTTACGTAATAATCATTATTTGTCAAACGCACCCAGGACTAGTTGGCATAGTTTAAAACATTTATTAGGAAAAATGTTTTTGGGTAACTTTTAACAGTTAAACAAGAATCAAAAACTCCGGTCTCCTTAACTTAATGCAATAAAGGAAAATTTTGCTTTTAGATCATGTAGCTAATGTTGGATAATCAAATATTAATGATAAAATTAATTTTCCATATATACCTACTATAAATTACCTTAAGTTAATGAATAAAAAATTTTTTGCTGTTGTCATACCCTCGCCGGGAATCGAACCCGGGTCCTTTTGCTTTTTCGCATCAATACTTTAACCACTATACTGGATTATTTCAATAACCAATCATATATCTCTAAATATGTATATATATTTATATTTTTAGTCCAAAATCGAATGATACAATTAAATTACAATGTTATTTACTAATATTTTAGATATTTTCTTCTTATGCGTTCGTTTAAAAAGTAAAATAAGATTCAAAACCGAGATCAAAATTGTCACCTAAATCCTAATACAACTACAAAGACAGAAAGCAATAACAATGAAAATTTTATGAAATGACTAAAAGCAAAACCAAAATGTTAATAATAAGCACAAAACTATGCACTATCGTTTCTATCAGTAAACATGTATGTACATACATATGTTAGTCACTTCCGTGGTGGAACACCCAATATAATAGTTTTTAAGCTAATGATTATTAGGAGGAGGCCAAGCCTTATTATATCGTGTTAAATACCTCAAAGAAACCGATACATTAATAACTCATACGCGTGTAACTTTTAGATACAATAAAATGATTTAGAAAGTCTTTTGTCTTTCTCCAGAAATATATTCTTTTTTTCTGCGCGAATCAAACATGAATCCTACCGGAATAGAAAACGAATTAATATGAAGGACACGATAGACGTTTGAACAATATTAATAAGTGTAACCATAAAAGCATAGAATGGTATCAAAAAATGAATGAATGCCACAAATTGCGTAGTTTTAACGATTTATATAGTTTGTAACTGTTTGAAAATTTCAGTAAAATTAATCAACTCGCAAAGGTAAAATGCATTATCATCAAATTCCATTGTTGTTTAATGAAATGCAGTTAAATGTACTTTAATATTTGCTATTATTATTATTATTATTACACCTATTATTATTAATTTCAGATAATTTGTTCTTTTTTTATTTTGAAGAGAAATTGACATATTCTAAAACAATTTTCTTTTTGCAGATTTTCTAATAATTTGTGAGTATTGATGAAAGGTTTGGACACAGGAGAAACTACGGTACTTCCCCTGGCGTTCTTCATCTTTCATCATGGATTCTCTAAGATTTTTCCTTTTCCTCTTAGTCTTAGGATGCATGAGTTACCGAGGTAAGTCGTAATATTAACTTGAAATTTCATTTAAATCGTTTGCTGTAGACAATTTTTATTTTTTCAACACTGTAATATGTTGACGAAACGATATTTAATAATAATATAAACATTGTTTTTAGCAAACTGCGTTAATCTTTATTTCTTCACACAAGCTAACAGTGGTGATGACCATTTGATGAACGGTGGTAACCAGTTAATGACAGATTCCTTGATGCCCATAATTTTATCAATAGTAAGTTGTACCTTTTTAATTTTTTTTTGAAGTTAAACTTCTATATAGACGACGGAGTATTACGATTAAAAGCGTTACGGCCGCGAGGCCAACGTCTGTATTGAATGGATATAATGCGCAGTCCCGGTGGCGTGTGCTGTGCTCAGCTGTTGTTTTCTTACCTCTGCTCTCCACGTGGCTGTGCATCAACGGACAAGTGGAAAAACGAATCGCAACAAAATTTTTACTTCGTTGTACCACATGTCCGTTGAAGTTTCACATCTATTATGTATCCCAGTACACATTTCATTTTCCTACGTTTTTCAAATCATTGCAGCAACCAATACAAATGTTTCGCCTTTTGGTTTAAAGATTTTTCAAAGCAGTGTTGGTTATTGTTACAAATAAATTTTATAATTTATCGTATACCTCGGCCATTAAACTTGAATACTAATCTTTATTCAAACAATTCTTGCTGGCGGAATTTATTAGGTTTTCTTCCCTTTTTCAGGCAATTCATGGAATGCTCAACCTATTATTTTTAAGGACTTACTGATACGTAATATTTCGTTTTATGTAAATTGATACTATTGTTTAATAATTTGTAGTAGTAATATATTTATATAATAGATAAAATGTGCTTTGTTATCAGATCTATAATCTTAGTTCAATGAACAATTATGATTTGTAGATTTTGCAAGTACCTATGTACAAATGTTTAAAATGTGATTAGAAATATTTTTGTATTTTAATAAAGTTATATTTATACTGGTTCTAAATTTATTTAAATTCTACATTGAAATAATTGAAATTTTTGACGGGACCATAAATTGGCCATTGACCATTGGTCTGACCCCCCTCTTCTACATTATACTTTAATAAATTAGGAATTCAGAATAACAATACTGAACGCAATTTACGCCACAACAAAGGAATAGTTCTGAGTGTTGTAATTCATACAAATTTCGTCAAAATCATGCGTGGATAACAACTTTGATTTCAATGAAACCACCCCTGTTTTTGGAAATGTCAACTTCACGCATTTCCGCCCCTGTTGGTGCCGTCATGTCGGGGACGGCTGAATCGACCGAGGAGTGGTACCCCCTTCTCAGCAACCTCTTTTCTTTGTGTATTTCATCGTTTCGTATGGGTGCGTATATTTGTGCGCCAAAAAGATCCATGTAGTTTTGACCTGTTCTAGCTCTGGCCTGAAACCTTGGATTTCGCTTTTCACTCGTCGCGTCGCATTCAGAAATCGTTGATCATTATTATTAGTGATACTTATTAAGGTTCCATCCTGTGTCAATATTTAGAAAAATACGTCTAAATATTCCTTTCATCATCTGTTTAATTATCGACGACAGGATTTAATAATTAACGTTAAGTATTTAAAGTGGAGGTGCAATTACTAATTACCTAGGCATCGCGTCGCGTAAAATAGTGTTGTAGTCAGCGGCTTTACTCCTCCTTTTCCGCTTTGTTTTGTGTTGTCGGTTGTGTGAGCTCAGTGTGGTGAAGTCGTGCAGAGATACGTACCAATTGCGTCCACATTTATAAAGTTGGATAAAATAATGGCTAACTTAATGCTTGGAATTGTGTCGTTTTTGCTGGCTCTAAATACCGGTAAATATGAATCTTTATTTTTTTTTGTTGTCGTTCTTAGTTTTTTTGTTCGTTTCCTTGTCATAAGAATTTTGGGAGTCGCGGTTTCTCAAGGACACATCGATTTTCATATATTATTTGAATTACCTAGCTAGTGAGTTGCCTAATCGTAAATGTTTTTCCAAAAATATAGATTACGTGCGCTTGTATGCGATTTTAGTAACAACAAAATTTTACTGAAAATAAAAATTATATCATAACACCTTTGTGGATTCAAATGAGATCATTCTTTAATTTTATTGTTTTAATTATATTTATATAGAGTGGCTTGCGAATAATAAATTTTTGTGTTACTCAAATTAATTTTATTTTGCCTTTATTTCACATTCCTTCCTAAAATGTAGGTCAGTAATCAGTAAATCAATAACCTTTTTTGAGTACTAATACTAAACTAATAATAAGGATTGATAAATGCGTCGAACTTACAATTAGTTACATCAGTAATTTAATGAAATAAAACGAGAAAGTATCCTTTTATGGTCTTTTAAACTTGAAATCGTTCATTATTCCGTTAAATTGCGAAGGTATACACTTATTTGTTTCAAAATAAAATAACAGCACAAAACGTTTAAAATTCTTTTGAATGCGTAGTAACAATAAAAGCAGTTCTTTAAAATTTACATAAAGTACTTATTTTCTATATATATGATAAAATGTACACGTTATTATCTTGACTTTGTTTATGTTAAAAATGTTGCTAATGATTTGTTTATCGTATTACAATTGTTAAAAAAAGCTTTTTCATGTAGTGCATTAATCCAATTAATTATTATAAAAAATTTTTAATGGTAGAAGATAATGCTTGTTGAAATTTGTGCATAATTTGATAAATCATTAAAGCTGATGTTTCAAGAATAACCAACTGATATTATGAATCATCCAGTCTGGTGAAACACTATTAAGTATAATAGTTATTAATAAAAATTCTTGAAATGAAACACTTATTACTAAAAATTCGTGAAACTTGAGTTATTTATTTAACAAATTTTATCTTCGTTGTTAGCAAAAATGGATAAAAAACCTATCCTAGTTCCTTTTTAGATGTAGATATTTTAACGCTCGTTAAAGTGCTGCTATTAAATTTATTAGATAAGTAATCTCATTATAACTAATTGTAAACTTAAATTCTCTTAAATGGATACACTTAATCTGCCGATATTATTATAATAAAAATGTAAAAAGGACGTGTTCTTACAGATAAATTAATTACCTACTTATCGTTAAAACTAATAAATCTGACAATAAACTTTTGAATGTTATGCTTTTTAATTAATATATTATCAAGTTTGCCGTAAACAGATTTCGAAATATTTTCCAAATTACTAAGACTTAGGTGGCATATTCAAACAATATGTATAGGTACTAATGTAGTAAGTGGAAAAATCATTGCAAACACCTGTACGACCTCTAGAAACCACTTGTAATAGACTGTTACGTCAAACGTTAGTCCATTAAAAGGAAAGTGCACAAGTATTGTATTACATGCTGCTTTGCAATCTAATGTATATGTATATTATATTAATCATATGGATTAATTTCTTATCAATTTTTATTAATTTAAAGGTTTCTAATGCTGGATTAACAGGGACGTAGCCGGTATTAATTCTGTTACGTATTTTTTATAAAAATTGAAAATTGTGCGTTATTTAGTAACTACTTTTATGGTATATCTTTTTTTAGGGTTCCGTACGTCAGAATGAAAAACGGAACCCTTATGGGATCACTCTGTCTGTCCGTCTGTCACAGCCAATTTACTCCAAATCTACTTGACCTGATTGAGTTAAAATTTAGTACACATATGAATTTTTGACACCTAAACCTGGACGCATAACGTAAATAAATTAATTTTGATCATGGGAGTCATTTTTGGGGAACCAATAGACAATTAAAAAAAAGTTTTGCAAACTGTACCGTGTTACATATCAAATAGAAGGGTTTGTTGTAAGGGTCTCAAATATAATTTTTTTAAATTTTAAAATAAATAGTTTTAAAGTTATTTAAGAAAAAGATGAAAATTGACTATTTCCTCCACCCTCTTATCTCCGAAACTACTGAACCTAAAAATTAAAAAAAAAAAAAACAAAAAATTGTTCTATACTGTAGAGCTTCGAAAAATACTTGTAAAATATCTAGATGCTGTAATCCGAACATTTTTTTTCAACTACAATGTTAAGTTGATTCTCAGGTTAGGGTTCTGTACATCCCAATGAAAATCGGAATCCTAATAGGATCACTCGTGTGTCTGTTTGTCTGCCTTTTTTTTTGTAAAGAAAAAGAGCCCCAAAAAGACTTATGCATTGAGCCTTGTATGTCCAAAGTCTGCCATTTAATATTCAGGGTAGGTCAGCACAACATGGGTCAGAACTTTCATTGCATGACCCATCTGGGCGCACCCATAGCTACGTCCCTATGGATTGAGTACCTACATTGAATTTTAGCATTACTTTAGACGTTTATAAAATTAGTTGCCTCATTCTAATTTTATTATGCATTTTCTATTTCAGCCCTGGCAATCACGTGTTACTCATGTGATTCAAGTAAGGGAGGCAATTGTAATTGGGGCTTTTTGTCATTTACGTACAGCACTGTTGATTGTAATGCCAAAGATGAGAATGGTGGCTTTTTGTCCGCCATAGGTTCAGTTATACCACAGAAATGCTACAAACTTGTTGGTGTTGGTAAGTATGTTTTTTATTATTTAGTTCGGTTCTTCCCCTATTTTTAATTTTAAAGCCTTAAGGGAGTTTTCTCTGTGGAGAACAACAGAAGTATTTCAGTTAGACTTGTAATATTTAAGGATACATTTTTATTTTAAAAAAATCTGGGAATTTGGATATACTGATAATAATAGTTTAAATAGATTTAATTAGCATGTAGGTATCTACCTTTTAAGAGAATTGTAAAAATTTTGAGACGCGATAAGCAGATAAATGTACAATCTTATGTCCATAAAAACTTTAAATATATAAGTAACTATTTGTACATTTAATTTCGATTGTATGTTTTACACAGTGGGGCTAAACAGCTAGACATAACTAAATTATGGGTGAAACGTTGTATACTGTCTTAGAAAATAGGAAATTATTTAAAACTCTGTTTCAGCAGATACACAAATCTAGTTTTCTTTTTACCATTGTTGTGCAAAGTGATGATTCAGTTTTTAATTTTTTTCATTCCATTCACTTATTCAAGGCTATCATCAAGTTTGCATAAGTACATTAGAAACCATTATTAACTATTATATTATCATGTTACATCTTTTATATGTATATATTTTTTATATCATATGATTATATCTACAATTATTTGCAATCCAATTATGTGCTTATTTGATGTTTTTTTTTTATGGATAATTATGTGGAATATAGACGGATAAAAGAATTACTTTCTGATTTTGGACAATTTTATTCAAAAATATAAAAACTGACTTAGAACTACTAATAATTTAAATATGTTTAAACACCTACTTCAACATTTTGTCAATGGGTATGTACAAGCTTAAACTAAAAAATTAATAGGGATATGTAGCCTATAGCTATATATCGATGGTGGTCCCCTTTTGAAATGAACCCCTAAGTATGAAAAATTAGGGAACGATTCCTAGTTTTCACTTTTTATTTTAATGTTTGTACCTGTAGGCAAAGTAGTGAAAGTTGGCTTTTATTCACACATTTTAATTGTATTACTGATGACAAATCGACCTATAGGTAGGTATCATCTTGGGCAAATATAGTTTTTGATACATTTTTGTGGAAAATATGTTATTCTAACTAGTTCTTCTCCCCTATCGGTCACTGTGAGCTCGAAACTGTTACCACCATTGCTTCGAGTGGTCGAAATTCACTTTTGTGAATAATACTATGACGTAGTGTCGGCCATCATTCTTTTCTAATTGTTGCTGTTGTCGGCCATCATTCTTTTCTAATTGTTGCTGTTGTCGGCCATCATTCTTTTTCAATTGTTGTTCAATAGATGTAATCAATGATTAAAATTTAAAGAAATTGTTTGTAAATAGGTGTGCAACACATCGTACACTTCAGCATAAGAAATTGCTGATACTAACTTTCATTTACGTAATACTACTTTGCCCTGTGCTGACAGCACTCATAATTTATTTTATATATAATATTAATGATAAGCAACCCAATATATATCACGTACATCCATGTTTCATAGATTACATATTGAATGTTGTATGTAGAGTTTTTCTTCTGACAGAAAAATAATTTTTCTTCGTTAAATTTCAGATAAACAAAATAACGAGTATGTCTCACGTGGATGTGTTACATCAACTGGTCCCATTGACTCATGTCAATATCTTGCCGAGGTGGCCAATTTCTTAAAGCCAGGAGATTTACAATCACTGCAATGTTCAAGTTGTAACACTGACAAGTGTAATTCCGCATCTAAATTTGCAAGTGCCACAATTGCAGCTGTATTATTTGCCTCTTTCGTTTTTCTTTTTTAAAAAACAAAATAAACATTATGTTGTGCCATTTACCTCAGCATAAAAGAACTGCGTTATTATTTTTAATTAGAATACTTTACTGTTTCATTACCTATTTAATAGAACGATGAAATACTTATGTCTTTAGACACTTTTTGTGTTTTGATACTTTAATAAGAATTCTCACTTTTTATGGAAAACATTTTGATAATATTTTTACTAAAAAACGTTTTTTATTTCCAATAAGAAACGTCACATGTGTGATTGTTATATAAATATTTTATAAACTTAACAGAAACTTCCATTTTTTACACAGCTAGTTTCTCAACAGATAATTCGCTCATATAAGGGCATCTCTCATTATTAGTTCCTCATAGTATATTGAAAGATAAAATGTATAGGCTCATTCATTGTTTGCTTCCATTTATTATAACTATTACTCTTTTTAAATTATTTATGGCATGTTTGTACTATTTATTGTTGGCTTTCGAAAACTTTATACTTAAGTATATTATACATGTGAATAAATATACCTATTTTCGTAAAGTACTTTTATTATTAATTAAAATAAATGTATAAACATTCCAGGAAATATTTTTAGATTGATTTAGACATATGTAGACACTGCTTCATACCAAAAATAATAATTACCTCAATGTAATCTTGGAATGTGTAGGTATGTAGTAAACCAAATTGTAATCGAAAAGTCGTATATTGTTAATGTATATTCGTAAAATCTATTTACTCATCAACTTAAAATATAAAACTCCACCATTTTAATGTACAATAAAAATACAATTTATCATGTACCTAGCAATGAAAGCTTTCAATAAATTTTGTTTAAATGTGCTAAAATCGTGTTTTTATTTTCAATTTATTCATCTTTTTTAATAATCGATTGGTAATTTGGTAATGTTTGACATAATGAATGCACTTACTCTTACGCTGCCTGGCATGATGCTGAGAATCAACAGTCAAAAGCACAAAACACTTGAACTTATAGTTTCATATACACATTTTTAATTAGAATTACTTGTAATATTATTTGCCACAAAATCACTGTAATTTTAAACACTTTACATAATTATTTAACACAAATTGTTCTTTTCAATCCGACAACGACACTACATGCAACGCGTACCTTTCAAACTGTTTTTAAACTGTTGACAGAAACATGAGCGGGGAGTTTAAATATTAGAAATCTTATTGGTCGAAAGAATCTCGCGGGAACCGATAAGATTTAAATTCAATTTTTAAAATCTGAAAAACAGGACAATTAAAACAAATGATTAAAAGTAAAAACAATAAAAGCACAATTGATTACAGTAAAAGACAATATCGAATAAAGAAACATTTGCGTTTTTTGTTTAAACAAAAATAAGATCCACAACGAAAACAAAACGTTTAAGTTAAAAAACAGTCTATTAATAATAATTAATCAAAATGACCATTTCGGCACACAGTGGCTTCTTCAAATGGGTTATTTACAAATATCAATTAGCCTATTAATGTGTTTAACTTATTTATCTCTTAACATTTAATAAACTTAAGTTTGTATTAAATGTTTCGCCTCAATTGAATTAATGGTCTCATTTTCGTAGATCTTTGGTGTTCTTCTCTTTAAAACATCTGCCTAATTGGCTCTATATAGGTAGTTTTTAATATATGTGGTACTAAGTTTCTATAAAATGAAATTAAATTTTGATTTAATGCATATATTAATAGAAATATTTCCTAAACAAGAGAATTTATTTGAGATGGGGTAAAACAAAAGAGAAAACTAATAAAAAACATGTTTTAAAAACGTTTCATTTATTAAATATTTGTATATATTTACAGTTCACGAAAAATTGATAATCAAGATTAACAACATCCTAAATATAAAGCTAGAAATATGTTTTCTAACGATCAGTTTTTAAAACTAATCTAACATGAAAACAACTCTCAATAACTTGTAAGTATTTAAAAAATACACAAGATCAGTCGTTAACTTTCAGCGCTTTACAACTTGTGCTCAATGCAACTGACTTTTTAATGAAATTCAGAAGAAAGACAAACCGGAATGTGCGCCAAATTAATGATAGATTATTGACACATCTATATAAATAATTACAAAACATAATCATTCCTTTAAGAAACTAACTCCTCTTTCTGTTATAGTGTTTGTAAATTCATAGCAAAGAGAAAAAAAACATTTTACAAAAAATTGAACATCACCACTATTGTAAAACAATTTTGTGCTATGAGAATCAGTTAATAGCAGCCTTTGTTTCAATACAAACAAAAAATAACAAAAAACAAACGAAAATTGTTTTTTTTAATGGTTATAGAATAATTTTCACACCAAATCTCAACTAGCAGTATGTAGAGTTTTTCTTCTGACAGAAAAATAATTTTTCTTCGTTAAATTTCAGATAAACAAAATAACGAGTATGTCTCACGTGGATGTGTTACATCAACTGGTCCCATTGACTCATGTCAATATCTTGCCGAGGTGGCCAATTTCTTAAAGCCAGGAGATTTACAATCACTGCAATGTTCAAGTTGTAACACTGACAAGTGTAATTCCGCATCTAAATTTGCAAGTGCCACAATTGCAGCTGTATTATTTGCCTCTTTCGTTTTTCTTTTTTAAAAAACAAAATAAACATTATGTTGTGCCATTTACCTCAGCATAAAAGAACTGCGTTATTATTTTTAATTAGAATACTTTACTGTTTCATTACCTATTTAATAGAACGATGAAATACTTATGTCTTTAGACACTTTTTGTGTTTTGATACTTTAATAAGAATTCTCACTTTTTATGGAAAACATTTTGATAATATTTTTACTAAAAAACGTTTTTTATTTCCAATAAGAAACGTCACATGTGTGATTGTTATATAAATATTTTATAAACTTAACAGAAACTTCCATTTTTTACACAGCTAGTTTCTCAACAGATAATTCGCTCATATAAGGGCATCTCTCATTATTAGTTCCTCATAGTATATTGAAAGATAAAATGTATAGGCTCATTCATTGTTTGCTTCCATTTATTATAACTATTACTCTTTTTAAATTATTTATGGCATGTTTGTACTATTNATAAATCCCCTTTCGCATAGCCTGCTACTTTCTTTCTGACACCTTTCGTCGTATCATTCAGTATAAAAGTCGTTCTTTGGTTGAAGCACGAGCTTTACAACAACAAAAAAAGAAAACATTGAATGGCCATATTCTTATGTATGTTTATCGTAATATTCGCTGTTAAATTTAATAGATAAAATATAAACGACTGCTTCGTATGTGGCCATCATAATGGCCGTGTTCGGTATTTGACGAAGAAGTTGAATTCCTAAGCCTCTATAGACTCCCCGAATTCCTTCCTCTTTAGCTACCAACCCCAACGTCTGCCAAAAGCCGGTATATCGGTTACCCTCTTCCCGAAGTCTAGTTCGCGCCACTTCGTGCGGATACGCAATACAAGATGCTATCGTTTTCGACATACCACCGGCTATCATAAACTCTACAAAGTCTCTCCAACTTTTTGTCTCTTTATATTTTTGAGGGTTGTTCAGGCGATATTCGACCAATCTGGCTTTTACAGCTTCGTAAATAACGAAATGTACTATCGTTTCCGAAATGCCCATATACGACGCCGTTATGCCCTTATAAAATCCCAGTATTCCCTACAATTAATATTCTTTTTGAATAAAAAAAAATCCCAAGACAGATTAATTATACAGAAAAAGTATATTAGGGTTAATTGTTAATGTAAAAGCCCAAACACAAAAAGAAAGTGCTAACAGCTTTAATTATTGCTACCAAGAAGATTAGAGATAGGAGTAGAGTCTACATCGGATGCTTAATGTTATGCTAGGCAGATCGCTGCGCAGCAAGGCAGTGCGCATCCGGTGTGAAGTTAGGCAAAAATACTTTAGTTGCGTTCCTTTTACACGCCAAGTGAGAATATCACACCAAATACTCCTTGATCTAACCTAAGTGGCGCTTTTTGCAGGTGATCATAAATCAAATTTATGTGCGATGAACTGCTAAATGTATTCGAGGACGATTCAACAGCTTTACCAAAGGGTACAGACACACAATATCCTATTTCTTTCTATCCTTTACTGGTCATAATATTTTTCAATCATTTCTGCTATCTCTAGTCTTCTCTATTATTATTTAAAACACTGAACAAAGTTCAGTACTCAAACAAACAAATAGGTAAATAAACAAAGTGGTTCATTCTAATGTTCGTTGTCTTCAACAGTAATAAACAATTTTCTTACCGATTTAGTATAGATTCTACGGACGCACTCTTTTACGGTCATTTGGCCATTTTTATTCAGATCCAGTTGAAGTCTTGTCTTCACAAACCAAATGGGATTCGTCAATGAAGAAGACATAAATCCAGCGCAAAACGCTGAAAAGATGTGCACCACGGGTGTGTCTGGGGGCAAGACATTGTTCCATAACTGTTTCGCCTTGCTGTACGTACAAAAATATATGGCTCTGGATGGGGCAACCCCGACTAGATTAGGACCCAAGCCTAGTAAAGTAAAAAACCTCTTGATTACACATCGTATAATTTAATCGCATACTTATGTGACAATGTTTTGGGTTCTTTGGCCACTTGGCTCAATTTTTTGGCTGACGTCCGGCTTTACCTTGGTTTGGTTGAGTCTAAACACATCGAATGAGGCAGTTTATTTAAAGTTTTTTTATTTACGACGCTCTAAATCGACGTAAACTCCTGATAAAATAATTAAATTGTATAGTTCTTCAATTTTGACCATCAGTCATGAGAACTGGTATTTTTAAAAGGATTAAAGCTTAATAAATTCAACGTTTTCGTACCTTATAGTAATTTTCAGAAAGAGATAGGGATAAAAGTTGCATTTACGAAAATATTGGTTACAACTTATCAACCCTTCAAGGTGAGGGTGAACGATTCATGACGCAACAAAGCAAAATAAAGAACGTATTAATTAGAAGGTATCTTACCTTTAAAAAGGGCCATGGGTCCTTCGTGGGTGATGATGTACCTGAGACACTGGACAAGACTCATGGTGGGTGGGGGACTTGAGGGTCCTGGACGCGTGGGACCATAACCTGAAAGAGCTACAACTTGAGGCCTGAGGACGCAGCTAGAGGTCCATAACCTACGCCTCTGATTATCGGTATTCAGGGTACGGCAGGTGGTACTTTGCTGCAAAGGGTCCTGGGCGATAAGGGGAAGTTGGTGCATGTCAAAGCCATGGCGCGAAGATTGCAACCTCGTCTTCACCACCTCCAAAGGACACGTTACAATTGCTCCAACAGTTCCAGCAACACTTGAATTAAATTTAATAAAAATATGATAGGTTTTAATAATTAGGATCTAACTATTAAATTACCTTGGCAAAATCTTAATTTTTTAATTCCCAACTGCACAATAATTAGGTATTTTAGCACAATACAAATAGGTACGTACTTAGTAAGCTGTTCAAGTATTATATTACCTATCTTTTTTCAAAACTTTTGACTCCCCTTCCCTTCGCTGTAAAGGTCTTATTTACCCCCCCCCTAAACGTAAATTTACATAACGAGCTGTTTGACGCCCCCTTCCCTAACTATAACGCACCAAAGCATTGTACAAGACCCCTCCCGCTAAACTACATTATGTAATATTTAGATTGCCCCTAATCAACAATCCTAATGCACACTAAACATTATCGTAGTTCATATTATATTATTACATGCTGCTTTGCAATCTAATGTATATGTATATTATATTAATCATATGGATTAATTTCTTATCAATTTTTATTAATTTAAAGGTTTCNAGGTACATGGTTTAAGTAGATAGGTATTGTAATGTATTTGTGATTGATAACATTATAATAATATGAAAATGGCATAATTTAAGACGTATAGTAATAAAATTTATCGCATTTCCTACAGTTGTGTTTAAATAGTCTATTTTATGATAAAAAATAATCTTCAATTTACATTATTTTGAGAAGGAATGTAGGTAATGTTTGTTGATTTTGAGCACATAATAAGTTGATAAGACCTCGTAGGTATAACGTGTTTCTCGTAGCAGCCAATTATTTAAGTTTGCTAAATTTAAACCATCAAAAATAATGATGAAAACTTGACCGACTCAACATGATCTTTACAAGAAAAGTCTTAGACGAGTCTTTTTGGATGTTTCTATCTAAATAGTAATAAAGTAATTACGACAACAATTTACTTAACTTATTAATAACAAACGTAAATCCAACTTCACCTTGACCTTGCCTTGTTGAATTTCTGAACTAATCATTATTAATCAAGTTATCATAAAAACGTTGAGTAGGTAGGTACGTTTTATTTATGAATTAAAAAAATATATCAACAAATACAAATAACAAAAAAGTCCAGAGATATTAATTAATGTAAGTGGGGGGAGGGGGTTTAACTGGTTAAAAATCATCTGCAATTATTAAACTTATTGTTAGTGACACATAAACAAATAATACTCCTGTTTACAAAAGTAAAGTGCATGATGTAAGTAGGCACATAGGTAAGTAAAATAAATGATAATATAACATAAATTTAGTGACCTTTATCTAGGACTAGTTTTATTATTTCCTACTAAAAAGGTGGCATAAGTTATTCGAAATGTATAACATACATACATTTTTTGAATATCTGTTTGTTATTATTTATTAACGTAAATTACAGCTGGCTATTTATTAGTTATTACATAATTTTTTGAAATTACGTAGAATGCTGTGTATTGCAAGGTTAAGTTAGTATAATCTCACTTACCCTCCTGCAAAAAGATGAATAAATCCATCTGTCTGGGACATCACATCGGGGAAACGTTATTTTTATTTATTTATACCACTTTCCACTTTATTTAGTAACAGTTACGCACATTTGAAGTCAAGAATATTAATAACTGACTGGCATGTTTGAAAAACGCCGGAACATTTTTGCTCTTCTTTTTAAATTCCCTTTACATTATTTCATTATATTTATTTTAGTAAAGAACAACAAACACATTTTAAAAAACCACCCCAAAAAAACGGAACAAGGTTGCACTCTAATATCGGCAACAATACACCTCTTCCTTCCTTAGCTATTGCAGTCAAGATGGTCGATATTCCCTTGTCTTTACCCCACCCTCTATGCACCATGCAATGATCACGTGTTGTTTGTTGTTATTTACCCGGTATATTTGGTATTTTATGATAAAATTATACTTTTTTATAACGAAAATTTTAATATACTAGAAAATGATGTTTACGCGCTTATACAACTACTGAAATTGTAAACAGCTGCCACAGTGTATAGGAATTATTCGAAAACTGTCAAAGCCGCTAGTACTTGTAAAGTTTCTATTTATAGTTGAAGGTCTAAAACTCTAAAATAACAAATTATAGGTTTTATCACTGTGTAAACAAAGTAATATTAAATTTTGACCAAAATAGCGGTTCCACATGGTTATAATTTTATTCCAAACACATGAAATTTACGGATAACACAACTAGTGTAGATACAGCACATACTCAACAAAAGTTTCGCTATAATTTGCAAATTTGCGTTACAAAACAGAAAACAATTTTAAAAAGCAACTGCGTATTAGAAAGCGAGTTTGCGCATTAATTATTTATATTAACACTGTTATCATTCACTATGTAACCATTTTAACCCATCTTCATTATATATCTGTTTGTTAAAAAAGTTTGATGTTTATTGTTATGTAGTTTATATCTATCTGCGCTTCTGGTGGTACTGAATTGTAATTGGTAAATATGAATGAAAACAAGTTTATTTTTAGAATAGAACCGGATTTCCATCGGTTGTAGTAATGTAATAAATTATTTCCTTGTTTTATGAGTATATTGTTTGCTTAATGCTTGATTTATATTTTAAATTTATAGGTTAGGTTTGGTGTTTAAAAGAAAGTGTTGTGAAAATCTAAACATGAAGAATTATTAGAAACCAAATGATTCTAAAGAAATTATTATCTCTAACGATGGACAGTTTGCAAAGAATCCTATAAATTATACTATTAAATGAACGGGTGTTATATAAATGGAAAAAAGTATGACAATAGATATATTACGAGGAAAAACACAAAATAAAGCCCTTCACTGTTACATTATTTTGAGCATTTGGATATTAGTGCTGATTGCCGGAGTTTACAAGTTCTTAGAACCGCAGCCCAGAGGTTCTATTCCGACAGTTGTAACAGAATTGTTTCAGAATCTAGCAATAGATGTACGAACAAAGAAAATATTTAAGATCTGCAATTTTCCTGAAGATATTTATTTTGGTGATGAAGGTAAGCAAGTAATGATCTTGTAATTTTTAATTTTAAAATATTGTTGTATCAAGGAACCCTTAATTCAAAGCAGTGGAACTTGAGAGGGTTAATTATACTTACTAGACATGGTGATAGGGGACCCTTACAGCATGTTAGGAACATAACATATATTAATTGTGGCAAGAAGACTAATACTGAGTTATTAAAAGGATATCAGGTACTAATTATTCCATACAATTTTTTTAGGTTTAATGCTTGATTATTTGTCCAAATTGGAAGATTAACCTACACTATTTTTTGCAGTTCTTTTGTAAAAAAGTGAAATGATTTGTTTTGCAGGAGTACATGAAAAATTTATCTTCCATAAGCAGAGTGTCCTGGATAGGCCCAGGCCCATTTCATGGATTTCCCTTGTTACCAACTCATTACAGGCAATGTCAGCTGGGTCAGTTGTCAATGCAAGGTGTAGCACAGCTTTTGAAAGTAGGTCAAATATTGAGGCAGAGCTATCTGAGCATTTGGCCCAAACTAACAAATCTAACTCCTGCAGAGGTGTTGGTTTATAGCACACGATACAGAAGAACCTTTCAGTCTGCACTTGCACTGCTTTATGGTCTCATATCAACAGAAACACTAAATAAAGTCAATATTTTCGAAAGTCATTCCATAAGCTTCTGTTTTAGAGAATGTGGCTGCCCAATGGCAGATAAATACTTTAGGTACTCATTTTTGCTCTTCATCATCTGTATTTATTAACTAACCTTGTTATTTATTGGTAATTTTGCAGTTTTAGTCACAATCAAAAATATCTAATTTTGTTTTGTTGTTTACACTTTCAGAAAAGTCAAAAATTATTTGAATCAGCAGTTAATTTCTCACCCAGCGGTTTCTGTATTAACAGACACTACAAGTCAGCTCATATTTCCTCCAGGTATTGAAAGGGGTCCTTTAAAACGAAATCCATTTGCTGTGAAAGACGCTTTATTAACATATATATGCCACGGAAGTGGTTTGCCCTGTGATAATTCAGCAGCCTGTGTAAAGTAAGTTTTATCCTATTTTTATGTGTCTTAAAAAAATAGTCCTTTTGTTGAGTACATGAATACCAAACAAGATAACATTTTCCTATTTATTTTATTTAGAAGACACAATGTTGCTGGAATTTTTTCTTACACAGAGTGGGTTATTCATCAAAAATGGGGTTACTCAGACTGGAAACGTTTTTGTCTTTTAAAAGCTTATGGATTGATACGAAACATCGTTTCACATATGTTGCACATGGTATGTAACTTTTATTGAAAGAAAAACTGTTATATTTTATTGTTTTTTCTTGTAAGGTTTCAAATACGGGTCCATACTTGGTCCTTTACTCCGGCCACGATCACACTTTAGAAGAACTATCAACAGCCCTCGGACTTAAAAGTGATCCCCTTCTCTTGCGATATGGTGCCAGGATTATATTCGAAGTTTATCACGATAATCGGGAACCTCAGAGTGTGCTGAAAGACGTCTACTTCAGGGTCCTGGCCAACGGTAAAGACGTGACCAGTCAGGTAGATTTTTGTAAAAATATCGTTAACGTAGAAAAACGGTCGTCCTTGTGTAAAATTGAAGATATTGTACGATACATACATGAGGACTACTTTTCGAGCTTTAACGCAACTAATTATAAAGATGCGTGTGTTGCGAAACACTTTTAACAGTCCCCATATCAGCAACCCCTATTTTAAACGTCGCAGTTTCCTAATTAATTTGTATCAGCTTTCAAAAACAGTTAAAAGGAATAAATATAATAGAGTAGACAATCACATTTTATGAACAAATGATAAGGATGTAGTAATACTTAAAACTTTTTGTGTACTTTGCGGGAATTTTCCACGTTTTTTATATTTTTTTTACGTACGTTAGTGTTGTGATTTTTAAATCATATTCCTTTCTTATCAGTATTTTTATTTAAGACTTAAGACATTCACAAATTAAGTAAATAATACAAATTTGACTTTCAATAGCTGTGATTTATATAAATTTAATTTTATTGCAATAGACGAAAATGAAGAACAGAATTAGAAACTTTTGAATGCTTTTTAATTTTTTTTTTGGGTCTCAACTAATAAAGCATAAAACTAATCAGTGATGTTATTACTAATAAATGTCAAGTTTTAAAGGCTTTATGTTATAGACTGCTGTATTACTGTGACTTAGGTAGCTTTTGTTAACTTTTTGCTATTGTCTGTTAAATTATGTAATATCAGTTAGTCCAAAGTTTATTAAAGCTTCTCAAGTTTATTACTTTGCTGTTTTTTTTTTGAAACTTCAACTCCGTTTGCTTTTCTTTTGCGTCTAGAATTATCATTTCATTTATCGTTTTTATGATAAAGCATATTTATCTAAAAACAGTAATAACAGATAAAATTATTATTTATTTACCAACAATTTTTATGATAAACTTTGGCAGTGTACAAGTTTTTTTTTCATTTATATTTAATGAATATTACATTACTTTACATACTTGTAGATATACAATAAACATGTCTTTGTCATCGCAATTACATTTTGATAGCCGTTATTCAACCAATAGATTTAAGTCCAAACCTTAACTTCTCTTATCACAGCTAATTTACAATCGATAAAAAGTTCGTTATTAAGAACAGATTGTTATTTTTAGAAAAATCAAAAATACCGAAAAAGATGCGATAATAAAGCAGTACATTATATACAATAAATATAAGATTTATAAGTAGATAAGTATGTACACGATAATAAAATACGGAAATTGTGTGATAATGAAAAAAAGCTATGTAATAAGGAATAAGTAAATAAAATTTAGCTTTAATGCACTTTATCCTTATGCAAGTAAAAAAATAGTTTTCGCTATTTAAAGATAAAAAAAAAATATTTAAGTAAATGCAACTTAATAAAATAAAAGCAGAAACTTTTCACCTGAGCACTATGCATAAAGATTGGGACTTAATCTTACAACTGTATACAGATACACATGTTATAGCTTAATTATTATTGTGCTAAATCACGAATAGGTTCAGCTGCTTATCCAATATAAAGATAAAAATTAGATAGAGCTGCGCCCTGTAACACCTAACACATATTTGTTATATGCTGCGTTCATTTGTTCTAGGAAGATAAATGTTAAAACTGTATGGGGTCCCAATCGGAAGTAATAAGGTGTAAATCCTTTCCATAAGGCGAACAATCCCTCTCTTTTTATCACTTTAGTCAACACATCCACAGATCCTTTATATTCAGGGACTCCGTCGATCATTTTCATGTTTTGGATCCTTGAAGGAAATAGATCAATATCCTTAAGAAATTATCTTTACTAGTGGTAGTAGTATTGATTTTATTTACCTTGTTTTTGCAATGTCTACTGGCATAGAAGCAATGGTTGTTACCAAACCAGAAATCATTGAAGCCCAAAAGTGACAGTTAATATTATCTTTAAAATATCCAGTTGATAATAGTAGTTGTTTGGCTTGAGAATATGTTGCCAATTGGGCTGCATTTACTACCATTGCTCTGCCCATAGTTGGAATAGCTCCACGCCAGCATGCAGCTATTCCTTCTTCTCGTATTATCCTTATTAGGGCGTCAAATACATTTTTGTAGTTTCTTCGTTCTGCTGGAGGAAGTCTACCATCTCCTGTCATTCGGATTAAAGCTACTTCTGCCGGTGTCCCTGAAAACACATACAAAAGTTTTTTTTAGATAATGTTCTATCAAAATATTAATTCAAATTATATATCTCACCTACAAAAGCCCCTACACAACCAGCAGCCATTCCCAATGCAGCTTTTATGAAAAAATTTGGTGGTTTATCCCCTTGTGAAGCTATGTCAAAGAGCCAAGTGTACACTCCTAAACGAGTTGTAGTATAAGTTGCCTGTCTCATAAGTCCAGCAGAAAGACCACCATAAAGCGCAAATATGCCTTCATTCTTGATAACGTTTGTCATTACTTTAAAGGAACTTACTTTTTCTTTAGATTTCTGAAGTTGCATGCGATTTTTAACTAAGTCTAAGGGCTGTACAAATAATGTAGCCCCCATTCTAAAAAAATATTTAAGATTAGTAAACATTTACATATGAAAGTATATGCAAGTTAAAAAAACAATTAATTCGTAAAAATAGTATTTATAATGCATGGTGTCAAAACATTTGATAAAAGCATATCAATCCAAGTACTTCTCTGTTTGCAATAATCCTAGTATGTGTTTATACTTTCTTGAATATAGTTATTGCAAATAATAGATACAGTAAAATTAATTTATTATACCTACACATACTATTACTTTTTTATAAACATAATCAAAACTTATAATGCACTTACCCCGCAGCTCCTCCAAATACAAATTTTATATAATTAGGCATTTTCTTTGCTTCTGTCTGAGCCATTTTCAAAACTAATATTTTTAACTTTTTTATTAAACTTAATGTGGGGAAAGGAATATTAATTCTTGATCTTTTTAAAATTGACCTAAGTGATCTTTAAAGGTCATATATAAAACACAAGTTACTGGGAAGTATAAGCAGGGTATAAAATTATTGAACTAATTGGAACTTATTACGTAATGCACTAACGTCAAATTTGTTATTTTCGGAAAATTTCCTTATTAATTTACAATATACGAGTACAAAACTTTTAAATTTTGTGAACTGTCTTAAACTAAGGTTAAAACCATAGGTTAAAAAATTGGGTTAAAACCGTTTTAAACGTCAACGTCAAAGTGGTGACGTTTATGATCATAGAAAGTAGAAAAAAAGATAATTATTTTAAATATAATTGTGGTATTAATTTTAAAAGAAACGCCATAAGTTACAGGTGCTTTATAAATAATTAGGAATATTTTTTGATTTTTCTTGAAATATCAAAAATAAAATATAAAATTGTCTCATTTTTACTCTCTATGACAAATTAACAAACCTTTTTATTAATAAGGTTGCTAAGCGTTCATTTCATAGTTAGTAGAAATGGACGTAAATCTGGGTTAACTGATTAATTAAGTTATATTTAAACTTCAGTTTTTATTTGAAAAGAATCATTTAAACATGAGCTCTTTAAATTTTTGTTGGTATTTAATTTTGACAGTTAATAATGATTAAAGTTATATAAGTTGTTCTGCAGATGGGTGATGCGGGTTGCGGTAGTAAAAGTAGAAAATTTAATAATTAAAATTAGTTATAGATTGTTTAAATATAAACATAGATAATCAGCCGATTTTTTAATTTAACTTTTCGGTATTATAATGTTTAGTCGTTTTTCGATCAATAATTACCGCAAACTAACCTATCATATGTGTGAGTGAGAAAAATGGCCAGTAATGTACCTGAAGTAAATTATAGCTGTGAAATTTGCGGTCTGGAAGGGTTAACAGAAGAAGAACTGAGATCTCACACCAATACAGAACATGTTGAAGGCAAAGGTACATGCCCTTTTTGTCAGTTAACTACAAAACCTTCAAAATTATTAGTACATGTGAATCAAGCACATTTAGATTATTTAACTCCTGAATCAGAAAACAACATTAGTTTTATCGATGACACTAGTCCCAGGTAAGACATTCATTATTGATGTTAAGTTGGATGAATTGAATATCTTTGTTGTGTATAAAATAAGTTGTTTGATTCATGTTCTTTATTTTTTTAGTGAATGTAATGGATTCACAGACTGGAGTTTGCCATCTAATTACAGTCAAGATTTATCCAGTAATGGCAAGAATTCAAAGCAAAATATTAACATTAATAACATGAATTACAACTCAAAGGTATTTCTCACAATTTTTAATTCACTGGAAGTGGAGATATATCTTTTAGGCTGCCTTCTGCAATGGGGAATCTAGTCCAAATAATTCCAGCCATGGGGAGGGATCACCACTCCGTTCCAGTCTTAATCTTAAATTGAAGAGTACTGCCCCAACCCTGCAATGTCCTATGTGTCAGTATACAAGCTTAAGTCCTGGAGAGTTAGAGGAACATATTAACAGGTGTGTAAAAAAGAATTAAATACATATGCAATAAATGAGAAATTATTTTTTTTTTCATTTAAAGACAACATTTTGATGTGACTTCTCCGTCAGTTGGTCATTTAACAGGAGAAATATTTTCATGTCCTTTGTGCATTAAAACTTATGACTCTGCACCTGATTTAGAGCTTCATGTGAACATTGAACATCGTGATATTTTGTCCCCTGCAAGCCCTTCAACAGCCACCTGTCCCGTTTGTGGTATATCGTTAAACAACGACAGTGATGTAAGAAAAAATTACAATTAGTAAATTTTCAACAAGAGAATGTTTAAAGATTTTTTTGGAATTAAATATCAAATTTGTAAATGCTTTGGAATGTTTGTTGTTTTTTATAGTAATAGTTTAAGTGTTCTTATCTTTTTTAAGAGTGAAGAAGCTGTAAGACATGTGGAGTCCCACTTTCCAGCTGGTTCTCCTATTCAGTTAGATAGGGCTGCTATTAAAGAACGTGAGCAAAGGGAATTTGAGATGTTAAGGGCGCAATATGGGATGGACAATCAGGGAAATTTCAGGGAACAGTCTGTGACAAATATGCAAAGGGCAGTTTATGCTGGTGAGATGAGCGTTGCCGATTATTACGAACGAACTCTGGGTTTAAAAGCTGCTGAAAGTTACGGTATTGATGATGGCAGTTCGATTACGCGAAATATGGTAAGATGTGTTTGTATTTAATATTTAATATTCTGCAACTCAGGATCATATAAAAGTTAATTATAAGTTAAGAAAATGAATAATAGCTATATATAGAGTGAAATTCTTATTTAGTTTTCATTTTGTGTTTTACATTCTACTGAATAAAAAAGAATTTCTTGTTTCAGGTTCCAAGAGTCCGAGCATTAAGTTCAAACGCACAAAATGTCGTACGCACTCTTACTTGTACATGTGTAGACCACTATGCGTCTTCTTATGGGGATAGGGGGTGGGGTTGTGGCTACAGGAATGCACAGATGTTGATATCAAGTCTATTAACGCACACAGGATATAATGAGAGACTCTACAAACTGTGGCAAGGTCAGAAACCCCCTAGATCTGCTGTTCCCAGTATATCTAGATTGCAAAATCTTATCGAACAAGCTTGGGCCAATGGTTTTGATGTACAGGTAAGCAAGAGGCACAAATCTCTTCTTATTTTTTATTATAATATATAGGTATTACTTTAATGCGAACAAAATTTATGAGGTTGAACCAAATTAAGATTGTGGTTATTTTGTTCTTTTTTTATTTTGCAGGGTTCAGAGCAACTGGGTAGTCGATTGGTTAACACCAGGAAGTGGATCGGTGCTACAGAAGTGGTCACTTTGTTATCGTTTTTAAAAATACGTTGCCAGTTAGTGGACTTTCACAGACCAACTGGGCCAGGAGGGACTCACCCTGAATTGTTCCGATGGGTGCTGCGATATTTTGAGAACAGCGTAGGGGGAGAATTTGTCGCTCCTTTGTATCTACAACATCAAGGTAGGACTGCATGCTTTTTTCAGTTTAATGTTTTTGGAAATATATAAATGTTTTGCTTGTTAAAGCAGTAATAGCTAAAAGCGTTCCCATTGGTGAAAATTGGCTTTAAATGTTGTTTTAGACATTTGATAATGACTATTCTCTTCCATATAACAAAAATTAACGTTATTGGGTAACATTTTGTATTGAAAAAGGAAGAGACGAATGTATAATCGAATTGGGAATTCTTTGAATGAAAAAACTATAATTTTCATATATTTTGATACATTTTTGAACTTTTTTTTAACAAATTTAAATTTATCAGATATTTGAATATATTAAAATACACAATAACATCAGAAAATCAAAAATATTATTTGAATGCGTCGAGTTATTCGATATAGGTGATTTTTTTTGCACGATTAAGGTGTTTTAAAAAAATAGTACATCCGTATATAGTTGGTTTGGTATATTTTCTTTGTAGTTTGAATGTTTTTGGTTCTTCTTTCATTTATATTAAGCTTTAGATGTTTTCCTTCTCTAATAAAGGTGCTTTCGAAGTTAAAAGTCTTCTCTTCAATTTGTTGCTTCACATTGTACTTACTTTCATTGTCATCCAATCTCCTGCTTCCCTTTTTACGTTTTTCGTGCTTGCATATTTTACGCAGTGGCTTACTAGTGAATTAGTGTAGAAAAAGGTATGCAACTGATAAGCAAGGACTCATTTTATGTACATCATTCCTAAAGGGCATAGTCGAACTATAATGGGTATTGAAGTTCATCGGGATGGTAGTTTGGTTCTTTTAGTGTTAGACCCTAGTCATTCTCCTCAGCAAATGGCCCAAATTGGTGACACTACTACTGGTTCGTCAGCCCTTCGTGTCCTTCGAAAAAGCGAATCTGCCATGAAGGCGAAACAATATCAAATTGTGGCAGTTGTAGGGTTCATAGACAGCGAACACCAGTACCAGGTACGGTGTTTTTTTGCTCGCAGTTTTCCTTTTGTTAAATTGAATATTTTCTTTACATTGCACTTCTTTTTCTCGCTAGATATTAGACATTTGTTTTTTCATTAAAATAGAACCGGAATAGGGACGAGAAGTAGAATACTGTGTTCAGTTTAAGTTGTATTTAAAGGCGGTCTCACACTTATACGACATTTGTTTCCGACAGTCGACGACATAATTTCGACTTGTCGCACACCAAGCAAACATATTTAAGTACATGATGCAGCATATGAAACACTCTAATATAATGGGGCATTTGTCTTTGATCGCTTGATCCTGCATTTGATATAAAACTTGAGCAACTGGGTAGTGGAAAAATACAATACTTTATACGATAATAACTACGGAAAGTTACTGTAATCGACAAGTGTACTCAATATTTTCGTTTAGTTGTTTTTCTTTTTCTTTGTAAACATTGACGAGAAACCAATGTGTGCGGAAGCGTTTTTGTTTACATCATTTTTTGATACATATGTTTGAAAGGTTTAAAACATGTCGAAGACAAAATTGTCTGTACGTATACGACCGACCTAATGTAACTTTTGTAAAACAAATGGCAAGACTGTGGTAAAAATACTCAACAATAAAAATAAATCTTTTAAATTATACTATTAATCCATTTTTAAGTTTGCATTTGAAAGTTTAATCAATGAATATTTAATCTTTTTGAAATTTATATTTAATGAAATTATTGGCTTGTCGTTTAAATTGAACACAGTGTATTTTCAAACAGTTTTAACACATCAGAAATTCAGTGGTAAATTTTTAATTGTATCTGTATCTGCACTTGTTGCTAAATTATTAATTAATTTGATAAACAGCACATTTAAAGTATTTTTCAAGGAAATTTTTCGAGATTATTTTCCTCAAATCTTGCAATTAAAATTGATGTGTATTATAAATAAAAGAAATGCTTAATATAACAAAACATTATTTCTGATCTACATGTATAATTGCAAGATGGTAAAAAGTAAGTAAATAATGACTTGGAAGAAATTAATACGAAAACGTCATAGGTCACTATACGGGAAATGGACTCCATTATTTACTCGTTCGTGTTTTCTAATTTTAATTACGTAGTGTAAAAACATGGTTAAAAATTTCCACTGAGTTTTAATCGCTTTAATTTTTCTAAATTAAGGGTGAGATAATTGTCGATTAAAATTTAAAATACGTGTAAGAGATCATTTTCACATTAGTTTTAGCTTATTATTATAAAGTTAATTATTTATTTGCCATTAAAATAATGAGCAAATACACTGAATTTTAAACAGTAACATTTGAATTTTCAGATTTTATGATTCACTGTTTTAAAACAATTTTACTGATTACATTTTAACGTGTAGCGTGTTAGTAAGTTTAATTTTTTCAAAATCTTAATGTTTTAAACAACCTTTTAATTTTTTTCTTTTTTTGTTCACGCTATTTAGATAATTATAAAGTTTCAAGGTGTGCTTTATTGTTGTTTAAGATTCAATTTGTTTGCCGTTAAACATGCACCGGTTGTTTTTGCAGTAATAGTCAGTGAAGAATTTAAATGAGAAGTGCCGTTATTATCCATTAGCATAGTAATTGATTTTCAGTTTGTTCAATTTTCCGTTTTAGCAAAGTAAAATTTTACGAGGCTTAAGAGTACCACAGGATCGGTGAAGTTGATACTGGTACCATCTCGTGGTCCGAATAGTAAAGTTTCATCTTCTCTAGCATAAATTTACCACCTTTGCTGTTCAGATTTGTGAAGAATTTTATACATTCGCTTGTAGCTAATGTCGCTATAGCCGATATTGCGCACCAGTACTTATGTCTTTAAAATAAGTTTTGTGCATTATTAGTTACATATTTATTTTTTGAAAATAATAGTAACTTACCGTTCAAAAAAAAAAAAAGTTCACTCGAACGAATTCCTTTTAGAATTTATTATTACCTCACTATACATATAGCTTTACACGTTTTTACAACATTTGTCATTATTCATTTTTATAAAATAGTACAAGCTGGTTTTGTATTTTTCTATTTTTTTTTTACCGGAATTAAAGATTTTTTTTTCAAGATTTTTGTTATTTGTACTAACGTTTTTCAGATTCCTGCCTCAAATGTTCCCATATCATAAGATAAGGAAGATCTGATTTATATTTTTCTGCGAATGTACTTTTTCGTTTTGCGCAATTGTTTATTTCAAACTTAAAGGGGTTGTAAGTTGCAAACATGCTGTTTAAACAATACGCGATTTTAATTGATCGTAATCAATTGACTTGTTGATAAACATACGTCGTTAAAAATAAATTGTTAATTAAAAGTTGCGAAAGCAGAGAGTTTACATCTGTTTAACTGTTACCGATGAATTAAAAAATTCTTTATACGTTTCTAACTATAATATAACTTTTATGCAGAAAAATAATTATATTGTTGGATTGTTCCTGTATAAATTAGTAACATACATAACTCTCAAAAGTTAAAGTTTGCAAAGAAAAATAAATATAAACATTAAATATAAAACAATTCTAAAATATGTAGGTACTGTTTTCAAAAACGAAAATCCAAAAATAATATTTGTTTTGGATTAATAATAATAACAATAACTCTATAGTTAAAAAAAGTAGTAAAAGTTCCACATGCTTATTCAATAATTAGGCCTCTCGTACAGTCGACTGCTTGTAGTCGCCACTAGATGTGGCCACACGCTGAGGATAGTACGTTGTATCCAGTATATCAATTCGATATTGTTTTGCGGGCTGTTATGTCGTAATTCATAGAATTTCGTAGTTCTTTGCTAAAAGTACGATAAGTAGTGATTTGGCAGGTGCTGATATCAATTTGGAACTTCAAAATTCCATGGACTATGACATTGAATCCGGAAAACAATATCGATCCAAAATTTTAGATTATCCATTTCAAAGGAGTTTAGAATTTTTAGCGCTCTCTTTATTTAAAAAACTAGAGGGCATTCATGGAATGTCTCTTTGTTCCATTTTTAAGCTTTTAATACCTTCAATGGCTAATGTGAGCATCTTTTATTCATCATTTAAATAATGTTTGATCGGTGATACTAGCAAAAATTTTAACGCCAAAAATGTATTTTGCATTTCACAAATGGAAAATACGTTTGGAAAAATTAAATACAAAATGCTTTTCTCAAAAAAGTATTTGTATGCAAGACAAAAATAGGTATTTTTAATTTTGTATTTGCTTTTTAAATGCAAGTATTTCAAATAAATTACATGTCTGGTGTCCAGTTGTTCAGTTTGCGCTGGAAAGCAAATGGCTGCTGGGGCATGTGGTCCAAATGGGCCACCATTTGATATCCATCTGTCCTCGGCGTGTGGTCGCTTCTAATGGTGACCACAGGTGGTCGAGTGTGTGAAGTCCACCTTGTACGTATATTGCTTCGTTAACTATCACAAAATTATCTCGATAAAATACATACAGGGGTAATAAAATGTGATAAAATCAAGGGATCAAATCCTGTACGTAGTATTAAAATTAATAATGCGCTGTATTTCACAGTAGCAGTAGTTAATCAAAATTGTTTTTCTGTTTTAACCTGCGATTAAATAAGTATGCTGCTTGAAAAGTATTTATAATAGCGTTACTGGAGTTGCCAGGGTCGGACTTAATAAAGCGAAGGACTGTAATATTGTCCTCGTTTTTATTGTACCTGTGTAATTGTGAAAATGGTACATACGTTGTCGTTGAAGCAGCAGTATTTTTGCAACAAATTCTCCCCCTTTGTTTTAGCAAACGCTTTTCCTCTAAGTAAGTAATAATAATTTAATATCAGGCTGTTCATACGAATATAATTAGGATTAATCAATATACCAAAGGTACAAATATTATTATTAATTAAATTATCATCTATACCTAAATTTTCTAAGCAATGCATGGTGGTGGGTCCTTTGCATTACAAATTTTTCGCAGTTTCAAGGTCGATTGGTTCGTCAGTTGTCTCATATAATATTATTGATAATAATAATAATAATAAAAATAATACTAATGCAGTGATATGTATATTGTAATTATACAAAGTTAATTCCCCTTAATTGTTTGAATTGTAAGTGCTTCTTTGAAGAGTTGTTCAATTGAAAATATTATAAGAGAAATCGTCATTTAACTAGCCAATAAAATTAAATTTAAATGCTCTTCGGTGTTTTTTTTTATCCGCAACAACAAAAAGGGTTAAATGGTATAGTTGATATTAAGGACCTATTATCTTTCCATCTGTATTGCCTGTTCGTATGTTACCACCTACTCTTGATCCCTACTATCCTCATACAAGGGATCATGCCCCCCCCCCTTCCACAAAATGGTATAGTTATTGTATAACTGTCTGATACAATTTTTAAAATAAACAAAAGATGAATTTCTACTCAAGAAAAGCTTATTAATTAAAATTTCGAAAATAATAAATACCTCATTACATTTAAGGATTATTAATCAACAAAATTTAATGCATATGCGAAATAGGGTACGTTATGAGTATATACAGTAAAAGCTCTTTATTCGCGGGGTATACGTTCCATAAATATGCCGCGAATACACAAACCGTGGATATGAAATGGTAATTAGTATGGAATCATAAGGGATACGTTCTAAGGTTCCAAAATAAAACCAATATGTAACAAAATAAAATCAATGTATTGATAAATTCGCAATTAAAATTAATCGTTATAATCAGCTTTCGGCAAGAGTAAAATATGCCGATACGTTGAAAAATAACACCGAATCCTTTTCTACTCGGTTAGATTTTTTATAAAAACCGCTTCGGCACGTAACAACTGTACATACTCAAATTAAGGGGATTCAGTAGTACACGCGCCATAGACTAAAAACATGCTTATCGGTTCTAGATATCATGAGTTTAATATTTGGAACAGAGGTTTGAAATTTTGTAGTAAGATAGATAAAGCTTTGTTCTAAGGCTTGTCGAAGGCCATTTTTAAATTTTTTAATTTCTATTGAAAATACGTGCCCTACAAGAAGCATCAACTTTAAGCACTTGTAAAAACTTTTAATGACCATATTATTTAAAACCAAAAACGTACCGAATTAGTGCGAACCTTTGTCTGCTACCATACAAAAAATGAAATATTTATCTCGCAGCGTTAAATCACAATGTTTAGAATAGAAACCCATGTTTCCGGAAAAATTTACACTAGGCATGAGCGATCTATTGTGGTCAATCCCCTTAATAAATGACACCGAATCCTTTTCTGTTTACCGATTGCAACGGCGAATAATTAAATTTTTAGCCGCGAATAGAGGGTTGCAATTTTTTCACCCGCGAATAATGAAACCGTGAATAAGGAACTTTTGCTGTATTTCCATTGGTTAATTCTAAACGATAAAGTATTTTAAAATTTATGAAACCGGTACTTCAAATATCTACAATGTTCCTGTTAAATGTGTAACTTTTATCAGTTGCACGAAATTAAAAATTCTTCTTCTGCTAATTTGGTACCACCTATCTGAATTTACTCAGTTAATGTATATGCCTGATTCAAATGTCAGCAAAAAAATTTAAAAAGCGGAGTCTCGGAATCAGAAAAAAGGATATCAAAAAATTATTCGCAAGCTGTTTGGTTAGTATGAGAAGCAGGTAACTTAAGTACTTACTTCAAAAAATTCCTTATAGGCGCCGTCTGACAATTACTATCGATCTTTTTCGTCTGGTTTAACGTATATCGTCGTTTACACGCCATACATGTCATGAAGAATTCACATATCCTGTTAATTCTTCAACCGGTTTATCTTCAGTTTTGCCAAGGTCAAAAACTTCTTCAACCAGCGGTGGTTGCTTGGCATGTTATTAGAGGAATCCACTACCATATTTGGCATGCACATATGTCTCTGATTTATTTATGATCGAAAAGAAAAAAATATTTGGCTTTACGAGGCTTTCAACTTTGAATATTTATCAGCTTGTCGCTATTTACGGTCATGTAGTGTTTTTTTACAATTATCCTAATAGTTTAGACCATAAAAACGTATTATAACCCCTTAATGTAATTTCTAACAACTTTCAGAGGTTTCTGGCAGCCTATTAAGTGGCCATAGCCAATGGTATTGCAGCTCGCTATAATGGGGGTATTTTACAAATGTTCACTTGCCAATTTTTTGAAAATTCAATTGTATGACCCTTTATCAAAGTTGTCTATAACCTTTTAAGTTCTCGGCTTTATGCTAGCAAATGGGATGTATAGGGGAGTGGAGCGGTGTCCATAACTGCTTCGTGTGGTCCGGTTCAGTAATATAAAAAATTCATTTGGTCTCTACTCAATAGGTACAGGGCGAGACTACCAATAAAAGGTGATTTTGCGCAAGCGCATGAGGGTGTGGGGTGGTGTAGATATCTACACTAAATTTTTGTATTGATAAATTTTGTTTATTAGGTCGCAAAAATACATAAATATCCCTCCAGTACTAATACAATACACCAACCCCCTGTGGTCGCATTGAATCTTTATTTCTTTGATTAAAATTAAAAGATCTAGAAAATATGTCCATCATTAATGACTTAATTGCTTTTTAACTTATTTACTTGGCAGCGAATAAAAGCGATGAAAAAGGTTGTAAAATATGAGAAGAGACTGAGGGGGCTCGAAGAAGGGGATATCAGGAGAGGAGAGGGAGAGAATCTAAAAAAAATAGAGGAGTCAAGATAGGTGGTGGGGTTGAGGAGGATTTTGTGGAGAGACTAGCAAGGGGATTGATTACTAAGATATTTAGTAGAAGGGAGGGATAACTTTAACTTATTTACTTGGCATGTACAGTTTAGGAAGAAGCGATAAAAAGGGTGGTAAAATATGAGACGAGACAGGGGAGGCTCGAAGAAGGGGATATCAGGAGGGAAAAATGGAGAAAGAAGGTATTGGAAATAGGGATGAAAAGTAGATATGAATGAAGGGGGAAGAGGGCATTGAAGAGTTTAAAAATTATTCAGGAGCAGATGAGGGAGTGGTTTTGGAGAGGAATCAATATAGGGGTGGAGTTGATAGGAATTTTGTGGAGAACTAGCAAGGGGATTGATTGCTAAGGTATTTACTAGAAGGGAGGGATATAAACGTGTTAGAAAGAAAAATTTAGATCAGTGAATGAGTGTAGGGGATGTAAATATTGGAAGAAGGAGGGGAACAGACGTAGGATGTGTGACAGGGAGGTGAAATATCTGAAACACGTGTTAGGAGGATGCGGGGATAGTAGAACTTGGGAAGAATGCCATAATCTGAATTGATGAATGAGGAAAGGGTAGGTTAAGTCGCTGAATAAATTTTTAAGGAATAGGAGGTCGTTTTTTAGGATAATGAAGGAAGTGTGAGAAAGGAGGGTAATGTAGCATGAAAAATAAGAAATGAAATTGTAAAAAAAAAACATTACGTTTAAAAGCTGATACACATATATTTACTAGGCACGTACAGCTCTAGTAATACGGCACTTATAATGTTGAGATACTAGTAAACGTGTTCTTGCTTTTACACATTCTATTTACGGATAATTT